ACGGGTCTCGGGACCGCTATGGTGGGGTGCGAGGGAAACGGAAGGATGTTGTGCAGGGAGGCTTCCTGGACTTACTGAATTCCGAGGACATGGTAAGTATCATTGTACTTGCATATCTGCTCTGTTAAATTGATTTGCTTACTATCCACAGTCAAGTTTTACTTCGTAGACATACTAGGCGACCGGCCTACTGCCGCATGCCCCGTTTAAATGTGCCTATTTAGTAGGATAACATTAATTTAGGTGCCTTTGCTATATTTTACACAGTATTTCCTTACGTATCTAATATTGCGTTTTCTGGTATTGTAGGAACCCACCAATCATGATGAATGTGAAGCAAGTACTTCACAATATCAACACCCATCGATACTTGAAGGAACCTATCCACACTATGACGACCATTCCCTGAATGAACAGTGATACTTGTTCAAACGACACCAAACATTTATGTACATATCATTTTCAACGAATAGTTTTTCTTTTCAATAAATGATCTATATTACAAACTGCGCGCTTTCTGCTTTCACGAAAAAAAACAATTTGGGGTTTGGGGGGTTTAAGTAAATGGGACTAAAAAGGATTAGAATAAGGTGCCATGCTGCCCGATTTTTTTTCCAGGAAGGGGGTAAACGGGTTGAAGTCCCCGTCATGAGCCCCGTCCTAGGTGGGGGTATAGCCCCGTTTACTCTCCGCCCTAAGTGGGGCTAAAGGGGGATTGAGCTGGCAGGGAAGTGTTTTTGTGTTATCTTCATTTACTTTTTCGATCCAGGATGTTTTCAGGATCTTTATTTCGACGTACGGCTGGAGCACCTGGCTTAGAGGGCGATGAAAATAAGTTAGGTCAACTGGGACACTGTCTTGAGGTCTGACTGCATTTTATTCCCCCAACCCTCAACAACGGGACACTGTTGGCGATCCAGATAGTCCTGTTTTTGGCTAAAGGAGGATTCATGAATAATAGGACGAAGGAAGTATTAGGTGTCCAATTTTATATTCAAATATATGTTATGGAATATCTGTTCTGATTGTTTCATCATGGATAATTTAGACTTCAAACGCATTTTGTAGCGTTGTCCAATGCTCCCTTACCAAGAGTTACTCTCCCTTTTTGTACGATTGTTAACTAACACCGGTTGTCTACCTCTTTTATTATGACCCTCCTTCAACATCTCATACTTAGCTCGATGCTAACTTTCCCCATTCAGTTTCTACCAGACGGAAGCAAAGATCTTTAGAGGACTTATCTTCTCACCCGTGATCTAGTATCCATATCGTCCTTGATCTGAATTGCAAAGTTACACCGTTTGTTTCAATGAAGAAAGAGGAATATCTTGCGGTCTTTATCCAATCCTAAGATCTGGAACCGTCTCCACCTTGGAATAAGTTGTTTTAATTAGTTCATTGCACGATTATGGTTTGTGCCACTTCTTAACTAATTCTCCTTTTTTAGTTGGATTTCCTGGCCAAGCAGTCTCCTGAGCGTAGTAATTTAATTTATTTAAATAACATTTGTACAGTCGATGAGCCCCCTGCCAAAATAATGCGTGAGGGACCGAATGTAGAACTTCGATTTTTGATCTCCAGCAAGGTTTGTTGAAGTTTCCCTCTCAATGTTCTTCAGACTGCGGGACTAATCATAGGCAAACGCGGTGAAAGCATTAAGAAGCTACGCGAGGAGGTGAGGCCGTCCGTCGGTTTTATTTTTCTTCTGGAACTGCTTGGTGTTAAGCCCTCAACTAACTAGGAATTCTATATTTTTTATTTCATATAACCTCCCATCCTTCCCGCCTCTGGCCCGTCCGACCCTGAATAATGTCCGTCCCAATACGTCCGACCCCGACTAATGTTCGTTCCGATACGTCCGATCCCTGTCTCCCGCCCTGCCCCATACCGCTTCTCCCCGCCCGCTCATTTTACCCGCATTGTGGCCACGTTGAACATACAATGGACTGATTTATTTTCAAATCGGTGGCCCCCTGCAGTATTCTGTTACAATTAATATTCCCGATAGCAATGGACCGGAAAGGTACGATTTTAGCTCCCCGAGCCGAACATTTTGGCACCTCCTTTGGGATGTAACATTTTGCTTTCGACTTTTAGAATCCTGATTCTAGAGGGCGATGTTAATTCAGTTATCGAAATAATGCACAACACCTTGAACAGGGTAAGCTTTTATCATTTATTGATACACATTTAGCAGGTACAAAACATCCAAGAGGACTGTGTTGACGTTCGTTTGCTTGTTCACCAAAGCCAGGCCGGCTGCATCATCGGCAAAGGCGGCACAAAAATAAAGGAATTGCGCGAGGTACTGATGTCATCCTAACTTTAACCAAAAATAGCAATCCGTTCTGAAGACGCTTAAAGTTTACCAAATGCTCTGTCCAAGCTCCACAGATAGGGTTGTTCAACTTGTTGGCAGTGTTTCGCACGTCTTCAGTTGTCTGCAAGCTATCACTGAACTACTCGAGGTAATTCCTTCGCATTTATTAACTTCACGCATTCAGGGTGCCCCACCGAAAGGACCTCGTCAAAATTACGATGCCAGGAGTTATGATGAAGACCTGGCTCATGATTACGGAGGCTGGTGTATGATGGGTATGGGCACTTCCAGCGGAGGGTTTATCAACCGCCGTAACAATCTTTCTTCGAATCACTACCCCCAGGTAAATTCAACAGGATCGGTGCTTTCTGCGCCTCTACACATTTGTGCATGCCATGTTGAGTATGATGGTTGTGCAGCGCGACTGTAATGGCCGTATGTCGCAGATTCGCAGTTTTGCAGACGACAACTCGGAGGCAGACTTCTTACGTGGATTGGGAATTTCCTATCTGGTCGTTCCCA